GTGCTGATGAGCCTCGATGTGGTTTCATTCAAAGAGGTTGCATCATGGAGTTGCGCGGGACATAGAAGGGGATTATCTAGGGGACTACTATGGGGGTTACTAAGGGGGATACTGGGAGTTTAGACTATGATCCACCTGAGAGACCAGAAGCCTAGGTCATACCTTCAAGATGTTACCCCTCCTTTTGGGAAACCCTAAGCCCTACATACCCCTCTATAATCCCTATATCCCCCAAAAGCCTATATACCCCTATATCCTCTTTAAAGGATCCTCAAAAGCCCATGCCAGACCAGGAGCAGGAATCTTCCACTCCCGAGACCCACACCAGAAATGGTTTAGGGTTTACTTACCTTTGGTTGGCTGGGAATATTTGATCCATCATAGTCGTTTCCATTGTCTTGTCCGTTCCTTTATTCCAAGCTTTACCAGAGGCCAATTCCATCATATAGTTTTCATTGTCTTGTCCATTCCTTTATTCCAAGCTTACCAGAGGCCAATTTAGGGTTTAGGTTTTAAGCCAGAAGGCTTGGTAACTTTAACACCCCCAAAATTCTGGAGCTTCCGGAGGCTGAATCTTCGGGACGCGCTTCAACGCTGCGAGGTGCGGTTTCTCGTTCTGCGAGATTCTGGCTTTACTGGGTTGCTGTTAAGGAACTTAAACTAAGTTATCACAATGGGTATATATATATGTATAGTAAACAAGAGGGTTTCCCCAATATAGTAAGTTGAATTAAGTTCCCCAACAGCAACCAATTGTATGTCCTTGCAGCAAGGGGTTGTGGAGACTTAAGTTCAACAGGTGCAACTAGGACCAAGGCGTTACAGGATGGATCCCTAGCCGGGATCCTAACACAGTGCGGGCGTAGTATGGGGTGCATGATTACTGATTCAAGTCCATCTACCCAAAAAAGCAGGTTGCTGAACAGAGGGGCCGTTTCTTTGGTAAACCTGCACGAGCCCTACGAAGTAACAGCTGCTTTGGATTCAATCTGTTTTGTGGTAGGTCATGGTGTCTTCTGCCAGTTGGTATTCCAACCAAGCCGACCCTTCTGGAACATTAAAACAGTGGCGTGCGTCAACGTAAAACCCTAATCTTCTGACTTTGGGGTTCAGGGTATGGGATTTAGGGGAGGCCCGGATGCCTTCTACCAGAACCCCAAACAAGCCTCCGTTCTTAGGAGCTAGTAGCCGTGATTCTGATTTTGTACTTTGTTTCCGACGTCTTCTTACGAGTTCTCCGCAGTACTGCTAGAAATGGACATTCTTCAAAACCTCCATAGGATCTGTAGCATGAACTTTTGCAATCTGCTGGTAATCGCCAGAATCAAGAATCAAGAATCAAATGTGGATTTCCCTAGACCCACCTCTAACCCCACACTATAAATCTCTACAACCTATACCTCAAGCCCCAAACTCCAAACTTTAAACCTCAAGCCCCTTTTCTATACGAAACCCTAGCAAACCTCCCCCAACCCTATAAGCCCCGCATACCCTAAACCCCCCTTCCTTTCCACGTTCAGCCTTTAGGAGCTGCGGCTGGCACATGATGCAGCCAGCCATATGCAGGCAGAGCGACATGCTGAGGCCCAGGGACTTCTGAAGGATAAGCCATGCGCTTTTAGTCTTCAGGATTTGGGATTCAGAGAGAAGGGTTGATGATGGATATGGATGTTAGAGTTTGAGACTTGGGATTAAGGGTGGATGGATACCAGGACTCGGTCAAACCCAGTGTGGGTTTGGAATTCTAGGGTCTCGTGCAGGGACATTACTGTGGATGTGATGGAGGACACGCTGGTACCACCTTTACATTCTGGATATCCAGGGCACTGCCGAATCTTGGAGATCTCGAGTGGTGCAAGGTGGGACGAGGCTTCTAGCAAGGAGGGATGGACAGGGTCTGCTCTTTCTTGATTTCATTCTCTCGTTTTCCAAGATGGGGAATCGTGCATATCTGTGTTGGGCCTTTATCATGTCATTTGAATCTGTATCTGGGAAGACTTTCTCCAAGCCCTGAACTCATAGCCTGAAACCCTACAGCCGATAGCCTATAGCTGCTAGCCTGAACCCAAACCTCCCAAATCCTGAAGCGCCAGTAGCACTCCTAAACTATAATAGTAGTTTCCATTTTATTTTCCATTATCCCAATATGATCCCTATATACTAGAGTAGTTTCCATTTTCTTTTCCATTATGCCCATAAATAACCACAATATAACCCTATATAGCCCCTATATAACCCCTATATAACCCCTATATAACCCAGTAGTAGCTTCCATTTTCTTTTCCATTATCCCCATATACACTGGGAGGCAACAGGCGCGGAGATCTCAATGAAGGAGCTCAAAGCTCGGATGGAGCACCTGCAGCAGGCTCGAAGCTCAAGTGATGTGAGCCATGGTCTAAACTCCTTAAAGGGGGTTATATAGGGGATTATATAGGGGGATACTATAGGGGATAGTAAGGGGGATACTAGGAGTTTAGACTATAGCTTATGTAGGGTTTAAAGGTTTGTGGGGTGAGACGAGGGTTTCAGCTATTGGGCCTAGAGTCTAAGGTTGAAGGTACAGGGTTTGGGGTTGCTGTCGGTAAGGTTTGATGGTGAGTACCAGCGTTCCTTCGTACAAAAATGTCGCTGCGAGATTACTGGGCAGTAAATATGGGGAAGCCCTAAACCCTCAACACTAAGGGCCATGATGACTTGGACTGTTTAGGCTGACTTGCAATCAGCTTTGGTGCCGGCAAAATGGCCCTGGGCCTTACGAGCGCTGAAGTCGTGTAGAGAAGCAAAGAGTTCCGGACCCTACTACTCCGTTTTTTTCCGCTTAGTTCCGGGAGAACCCACAGAAGCATAGTATAGGGGGTGGTTAGGGGAACCTACAGGGACCCAAGGGAGAGTAGCATGGGAGGGGGAGGTGTTCAGAAATCTACAGGGAGCCAGGAGAGTAGTATGAGGAGGGCTTCAGGGAACCTACGGGGACCCAAGGGAGAGTAGCAGGGG